CTGAGTCTAAGGACTCCGTAAGTTTCAGCCCTTACTGCCTTCTCCTCTTTTTTCTTCCTCTTTTCCTTGCAGTCTTGGTGTAATAATAATAATATGTAATACTTGATGACACAGCAGACAGCTCTCCTCCTCTTCTCGTAGTATCCGTGACGCCATATCCTTCTGGTTTTCATCCATCTCCCTGACCATCCCATCTTAGCCTCCTTCATCAGCTCTCTTTCCTCTCTCCAGTTTCTAAATGTTGTAGTTTCTTAAAGATTCGGCCTTGAACCCCTTTTTCCCACACTTTTTAGGGAGCCAAGCTCTGTCCCTCCTCGGGACTCCCACACATGGTTCTTTTCTTCTTTATACTCCCTTCCGTCCCACCTCTTCATGTTTAATTCTTCCTTCTCCGTTTTTCCTGTACTCATTTCCATGGACTCCACATACTGGATCATTTGCTTTTCTTCTGACACACCCTGTGCGTTTTCTGCTGTGTGATGACCACATTCTATTTTTCATTGCCCAGCTAGAAAGCCATGTTGATTCAAGAAGCTTTTTTACAGCCACAGATTTTTAAAAATTCAGATCAGTTGATATATTTCTATACCACTCATAGCAGTCTTCACATTTACCTCTTATTATTTATTTTTTATATATGTGTTCTATCCTCTGTTACACTGTGAACTCCTCAAAGGCAATGATCTTATCTTCAGCTTAATCGAATCTTCCACAGAACATTTTATATTATACATAGCACTTACACAGTAAATATATCCCAGGTTAAATTAATGAAAATGATCACTAAATCAAGTGTACAGGAACATTTTACATTATAGTTTGCTAAGATTCCCCATTCTCATTCAAGAGAAATGAGAAAGTTGGGATCTCTAGGATTACTGCCACTGATTGGCATGCAAAGGCTCTTATGTGTGCCCAGATATATAACTCTGAATAAACTTTATATCAAACTATCTGAGAATGGAGGCTGCTGTACGTGGTATAGGAAATATCAAACATTTCTGTTACTTCACCATTCCAAGCTGAAAAAGAGAGATAGCTTCTGTTGCTTTGAGCTTCTATTGATGGTTTTCCACTCTGCCTACTAATCAGGGTTGTATTATTTACCTTTTAGAAGGACCCATCCGAACATTCTTTCTCTCCTTGAATTGTTGTTGGATATTAATTCACTGCTGCAGGATACATTGGTAAAGATTTCTGAAATTGCAGGGAAGTGTTTCTTTAATCCCTCGAGTTTGTTAAGCACTTTATTATCATGGAGATCATAATCTCCTAGTTGGTAGAAGAGATGAAATGGTTACTGGGGATATTTTCTCTTGCTGCAAAATTATATTAAAAAATGCTTTGTCCAGTTTTTAAATCCTTTCCACAGGCTGCAAGATCCTTAGGAAATAAGTTGATGGCACCGAGTTTGATGTCCTTCGTAAGGCACCAAGCAGGGCTCGGGTCACTGTGATTCAGTTAGTGGCCTCTATAGGTGAGCCTTGATAATAGTTTTCATTAGTATTGTGCACACACATTCATAACTATTAGGTTGCTTAGCTGAGGCCATGATTATGGCGAACAGGCAGTCTTAGAATTTCTTCACCGTGCAGCCTAAATTGCCAAGCAGCCAGCTAGTGAGTGGTTTCAGGGGACAAGTGAGAGTGAGTGAACCTCTAGGTCATGAAGGTGCATATCTCCTAGGTTTGTTCTTCTACACAGGTCACAAGGCTCAGTTTTGATCTGCTTTGCAACTTAAGCTCCCTGATGACTTGATATTTCGGTTTTCCTCTGCTTTTTCTCATAATGAATTATTGTTCGTTTGTTTGTTCGTTCGTTCGTTCGTTCGTTCGTTCGTTCGTTTGTTTGTTTGTTTGTTTGTGACACAGCCTCAAGTTGCAGCCCACCTTGGAAATGACAGCATTATTAATGTATTTCCTTTTTCTGTAGCATTTTTGACAATTGCTGGCTGACAGTTATTGTTTATTAAGTATTAATGACTTGTAGAGTGCTGAGCAGCAGAGAGAATATTTGGGTTCAGCCGAGGACAGATGATATGTAGCAATGACTTCCCATTCTAAAGGGATATTATTAAATTAAAACAAGGTTGGTCTTTCCTAATTTGATTAGTAGAAGATGGGGTGTCCCTGGCTCATTGTTTTTCACTGCCCTGCGCTGTTTGACACTTACCCTGAGTGGAATTAGACGAAGGACTAGAGGATCTATTTTCTATGACTTGATCAAGAAAGGCAGTTGTGAATGACCCACATGGCCCCTAAATTCTGGGGGGAAGATGGACAACAACAACAATTTTAAAAACCCAACAACTTA